GTGATTTTTGAGGTGACTGTAGTGGCTTACCAAATTAGTATCGCAGGTGATACAATAGCACTCGCCATTTTTGTTCCTAAGCTAAGAAAATGTGGCCAGCCACTCTGTCCGAAACTTCCTCCTGGTCTCAGGCTTCCGTTCGTCGCTCGAGCTTAAAATAATACAAAATTTTAGTAAATCATGCAAAATACACAAAATGCCTATGTGTGAACCTGCTCTCACTGCCACTGTCCGTCTCTGTATTTGCACCTGTCGGGACGTCTTTTCGTACAACATTCTGCGGTATTTATTAATTAAATATTTCATATATACAATCACATTTTCTAATTACATACCTGTCCAATTTTCTTTTTACTAATTCAATTCTTCAACCACGATTTCAGTTAAATGCATTTTAAAACCAGCTAGGTATGTTCGCCTTTTGTTGATATACATAAAAAGGTGAATATTAATCCGTTCGAAAACTAATGTAATAAAGTAAATAGTAAACCTCATTTTAAAAGCGTTTGGAAAGAATCTGATAATATAAAGATAACTAAGAAAAATAAAGCTAGAACTGAAATTTTCAACTTTCATTTGTTTTCTGCATAAAATATTTTATCAAAAATCTACCAAAATGGAAAAAAATTTACCTTTTTACCAAACGAAATTTTGTCTACCAATTTTGGTAATAATTTACCAAAGTGGTAACACTGCACACAGCTTCAAATTTTAAATATTTGCTTTTGTGTTATTTTTCACTACACACTTGCTTCTGTCAAACAGTTTGCCACAAGTAGCTTTTTTTCCGCTGTTGATTTACTTTGTTTTCACTTGTATAGATTCGCCTTGACTGCTGCTTTATTTTAAGGCGAATTCAAAATGTCGTACAAATTCGCCTTGCTTTATTCTCTGCTTTCTGCTCTAGTACTTTACTCGTTGGTTTCGCTTCTCTCATTTTTTTCTATACCTATACTCTCTGTTCTCCAATTCAAATTAATTCTAATAAGAATTCATAACTGCCTTTCGAGGTTTGCATTGGAGCGCTAGGGCTCCGCTGAACATTTTGTTGTATGCACAATCTTCAGCAAATAATTACTATATATTTCTTATTGTGCAATATTCACTTCACCAACTGTTTTATTACGAGTCAAATCGCACTCTTATTATTCAAAATATGTTATTAACGCCACCGTATTAAATTGTATTTATTTCATGCGGCCCGTCACTTCAGACACCAAATGTAGGATGCTGAATAAAACACTAGTACTTAGTGGCACAAACGACAGTGTTTATTGATAAAATGTTTAATATTTATAAATTAAAGTACTTAGTGGCACAAAAGTTACTTATTTTTAAAAATGATATTTAGCGATATCTTCTAAGCTGTACATTCGCTTACTTCTAGAAAGTAACTGTAACTCCGTTATTTCTATTTGTAGAGTTGCATTTTTCAGTAAGTTAGCGTCGTTTAATTCAGGGTCGCATTGGACCCAGAGTCGTATTCTATCCTAGACGTGCATATTTAAGTAAGTAAGTTAAGTCTGTTAATGAGTATGTTTAAGTAAGTCAAGTCTGTGCTCCCACATGTGTACTTTTGCGACAACTGAGCCAGTGTGGCATGAGGCCACCAGAAAAAGCCAATTTTTCCAAAACAAAAGCGGCAAGTTTTTATTATCATGTTTAATAATTTTTTTGATTCAGTAAAAAGTGCATATACATATCCATTTCCTCACGTTTTTATTAATAAATTAATTTCAATACATTTATAACAACGCAAAACATATTTCATTTACCTATTCCTTACATTTTATTCAGTAAATGAATTCCATCTTAATGTAGAATATTAGTGTATAGTGTACACATACATCCATATGTACCTATGCCTTCGGTGTGCTTAAATTAAAAAAGCATCACTAAATACCGCACCAAGCATTGAATTCCAATTATTTTGGCTTTTTGGTTT